TACGATATAATTGTTGAGGAATAAAAAAATCCTATTGACTGCCAATTATATCGACTATTTAGTGCAAAGAGAACAAAAACAGTATATGCATAATAGTTTTTTACAGGTACTGTAAAGCTTGATTGATAACTGTACCATGCTCAGGCCCTGGGCAGGGTCATACTTTGGTCCCAGTACAAATACTCTCTGTCCTTTCTTGACCAGCCCACTGTAGACTCGTGCAAACGCTATGAAGGTCTCCTTCTGCTCCTCTTCCTCTTCTGGCTTTGGGTCTTTCAATGTCAGACTCTCCATCTTATCTGACAGAGAGAAACAACATACACAGAAGTTTATGTGAGAGTTAATCACAGGTAATCATCTCACTTGTACATACTCTGACAGACACACTGAACAGTTTTAGGTGCATCCAAAGAACGATGACCACCTTGTGACAGCCCTCCTGTTTGGGTTGTCGTTCCCCTTTAGGAGGAAAACAAGAAGTGCATCACTGATTAGCATCTGTTGCTCCTCAGCTATATAAGCTGGTGGATTCTGTTAGTTTGCTGTCTTTCTGCCTATATTTTGTTGTTTGGGTTCCATTTTCTTTGCTCATTACACTGTCCACTCACTCAAACATACAAAACACTACTGATGTTACTTATTTACATACTTTGTATTGTCATTGTTTAACTTATATTTTGCTAAATAAATATTTAGTTAAAAGGTTGTGTGTTGTTCTTCCCCCTTTTTCTTTCCCTTGAGCCAGGCAGCGTCTACTTGCCTATTCTTTACACCCACATAATTATTAGTGATCAATGAAAAACCTCTTAAGACCCACCATAACCCTAACCCCTAACCCAACCACACCTGTGTAACCGTAACCCCTAGTCTCTAACCCAAACATACCTGTATAATCCTAACACTTCCCCCTAACCCCTAACACAATCATACCTGTGTAACCCTAACCCCTAGTCTCTAACTCAACCACACCTATATGATCCTAACACTACCCCTAACCTAACCACACTTGTATAAGCCTAACCACAAATCCATAACCTGTTTAGGCTTACCCCTAACTCTGTTTTTGACAGGCAGGTGGGTTTTAACAAGTTAAAATGGCAGTAATCAGTAAAAGCATGCTATGATGATGCTTGCATCTCCACCTTTTCTCCACAGCTCACAGTCAGATTTAATGATTTAAAAAAACACCACAAACTGTCACTTATTTCCCAACTCCATCCATGGTACTAGTCTTTTGGCAAACTGCTGTGTGTTAAAAGAAATAAAAAGAGATGAAAAGTGTAGAGTTGAGCGTACCTGTGCTGAGTCCTGCAGGTTGGCCTTCTTGTGGCGTATTCCCTGAGTGAGTGAGGTCTTTTTGGCTCTCTGCTGCTGTCTGATCAGCTGTCATCCTGTCAGCATGTCTCTGTCTAGCCAGCTCCCTGCGCTGAGCAATCTCATCCTGAGTCAACGGCCTAAGCGCACACACGCACACGCACACACGCACACACACACACACACACACACAGGTCAGAATGCCATCATACTTCCAGATAACAGCTGTTTCCTTGAGGTCAGAGATGGGTTGTGACAAGCAAGCTGTCAGCTGCAACCATAGGAAGAGTTGGAAACATTGACAGTATATAATTAGTGGACAGAGCTTCCAGGTCTGACAAGTGAGGCCAATGAAGAGGTACTTTACACCTGCATTGTTTCTAACAGACAGCAGGGCTGCAAAAAGAAGCTGTATGGTTGTATTAAATGTAAGGGCAAAATGAGCCTACTTCGGACTGATTGATGAGCTCAGTAAACAGTGTGCTAATGAGTTTACGGTCTCAATCTCTAGTTTCAGTCCTAATGATGTCATTTAGTAAATGATGGTCCCAATTTAGAGTAAAAAAATAGACCCATAAAGCAGGGTATGCTTTACCGGGTGGTGCTACCCTTGTGATTGAGCAGGTCATTCTCAGTGAGTCCGTCCGCTCAACGGCCAAAACTCAAAGATCAAACTGTCAAACTAGGCAGCGCTGATCAAATATGGACCCAGATTGTGGAAAAGCCTGTGGATGTAATGATTATCTTATTAGAAATATTACTATTAGTGTATGTCAGCCCAGGTACCAGTGTGAAGATGAAATACAATCCAGCAAGTCCAATTTGAGCAACTCTATCAGGATGCTCAGTTTTTTTCACGCTGTTCTTATGTCAGGCTTAGCCAGCTAAAGTTGTGCTAAATCTTGGCTTGCCAGTATCACAAAGCTGGAACACAAAATAAATAGATTGAGCTGCAACAAGGAAGACACTTATTGTATATTTATTTGTTTCCCTGGCACAAAAGTGCAAATAGACCACCAATAGAACACCAAAATAAACATTGGTATTAGCCCACAATTTCCCAATCGGCGCACCCCAAATATATGTGATTTAGAACATAAATATAGCAGTAAACAACTATTCTCTATGCAAAGATATAGTGGGGTCACTGTGTCACACTGCCTCTGGCTGTGTTGCTATCACAGCCCAGAGATGTTGACTGTTGGAATGGTGGAAAGACTAACAAAGATTGTTTTGATGAGTTTTATTTTGTTTATGTCTACTTTGAACAAAGTTACGATGTTACAATGATATGGAAGATTAAATGAACAATTTTGTCGATGGAGCCTGGTGTTGAGCGATTGTGATATTCTGGCTGTTACTGGATAAACTAAAGGTTTATCTCTGTAGGGATCCTGTTCATGATGTTATCAGACACTGTGGTCTGTCAGTGGCAAAAACAACCTTTATTCGACGGACTTTGATGGGTGCAGTGGCCCCAAAGATTGCAGCCATTTTCTTGAATGTTTTCAAATCTAACTCTGAATTAACGATTTATTTTGAGTAACAAAGACAATTTTGGTGAGTTTTATTTTGTATAACCTTTCATATTTTGTATATCTAACCTTGAGCCAGATGACTCAGACCGCCTGTCTACGCTCAACTCACTTTGTGATAAATGCTACTCAAAACACATGATTTTTTGCCAATCAGAATGGCCAATCACTGATTAAACGTACAGTAATATCTATAATCTGTCACAATTAAAAAAAATAATTAAAAAAATAATTAATTCTGTTGTATGACCCTACTGATATAGGACCATATAAGATATTCGACAACTGGAACATGGGACTACTGTCAACACCTGACGCATTCTGCCTCTCTCTCTGACCAGAAACCATGTCTAATACATGGACTCTGTGAGCCTCAGTTAGTGGAAAACTTTCAGTTCAGCCAGATAGGTGCCTCAGGGGCGAGCTGTAAAAACAGAACACAATTATCCTCACTTTAGGATAGTTTTTAGTTTTGCTACATGACCTGTGTGTTTTTGTGTATACAGTGCTGTCTGTGTGTGCGCAGGCATTGTGGTAGGACTGTTAGCAGTCTGTGTGCGTGTGTGCCCTCTTCAAAAAGACCACAATGACTGTAGCAACACAGCTGCTCACAATAGGCCTGAGTGACGGCATCCAACACAGAGTTCAGCTCCATGATGACAAACCACTTAAAACAGCCCATAATTTGCCCCTGACAGCAGCAGCAGCCCTGGCGACTCACTGAGACTGATTGCACCTCTCTTTTGCATAAATTGGATATAAATGGGGCCACAGCCTGAATTCAGAATTCCAACAGGAAACCACAAAAGAGCAAACCCCACTGGCTGATGGCCTGGCCTTAAGAACAAATAACTTCTAACTGACTTAAAGCTTCAAACTGCACGAGTCAGCTCACTTCTCTCACATTATTTCCTCCGAAACCAGAAAGGCAAACAAACCAAAAGCAGACAGATGTTTAAGTGAAGGTTATCAATTTATTTATCTGAGCCTAGAACTGCTCGAACATCTAAATAAACACACAGCTGTGAGGTACGCACTAGGCTTCAAGCTTCCCATCAGACCACAGCTAAGTTGTGCTTTTTTCCTCAAGAGGTCAAATCAGTCGCTCATTGGTAATAACGGGAATGCCAGGACTTGGCTTCTGGCCTCACCCACTGCGGTTATGAAGTAATGGCTTCCAAACACTGGAGCCGGACGATCGCAACCACTAACAGACCTTTTAACGTTGTGAAACGGGAGGAAAAAGTGTGCTGGAAAATTAAACAATATATTGATATTAAAGCTGTCTGCAAAACGCACTTCATCGCTTTTTATGCTAAAGGATTTTGATTGAAGATGTTTGCCATTCTGGCTCGAGTACATGAAAATGTAACTGAGCAGTGACTAAGATGATATTCTTGCTGACATTTACGCTGCATGTTGAGAAACTTGAAAGCTAAATTTATAAAGCGCTGCACCATGATGGAAATGCTCTTTTAGAGGATGATCTTACTGAATTTGCTAAGACTGGTTAGAAGGATATGGTGATAATATTCTGCAAAAAAACAGAAAAAGTGAAGAGTGCAATTATTTGGAGGAGTACAGGAAACTCATCCAGGACTTTGTCACATGGTGTGACTCCAACCACCTGTGCCTCAACACCACCAAGAGAGCAGCATTAAGAAGAAGGATGCCTCCCGTCTGGACAAACTGGTGAGGAAGGCAGGCTCTGTGTTGGGCAGAGAGCTGGACAGCCTGACATCTGTGGCAGAGCAAAGGGCGCTGAACAGGCTGCCCTGATCAACAGCGCACCCGCCAGGCTCGCAGGGCCCAGCGACGGGCGCGCCGTCCCGCCGGGGCGCCCCACCCGGGTAAAAACTCTAAACTCCAATATGTCTGCCCTGTATTTAACTATACCACCTGACGCAGTGCACCCTGCATTATGTGACCACCTACTTATGCACCTAAGCCTTTCAAGCACTGGATTCGATTATGCACATTAGGACACGTTACCCCAATGCTTGTATTTTAGCTATTTATCTACTTTATTTATTTAGTTTTTTTTAAATTTGACCTCCGTTGTTTGTTGTTGTTGTTGTTATTATCAGTTTGTGGATACTGCTGGAAACTGTGAATTTTCCCTTCCCAATCCGATACCACGAATTTATTAAATTAGTAATCTATTTACTGGTTAGTCCGTGTAGCTCTGACACCAGTTCTTCTTCGCCCCTCTTAAAACAGTGGCGCTGTGGCTGCAAAGGGACGAGGAGGAATTGATCACGTGACACCGACACAAACAGACACACGTGGTGCAGACGGTTGACGGCGAGGCTTGGAGCTAAGCTAAGTACCACTATCATGTCGTTTGGTGTGGCAATATTTCACACTGGAATCTCCCACCAGTAAGACTGCGACATGTAAGCGTGGCAAAGATAAAATCTCAAGGGTGGCACGAGGGTTGATGATTTTAACACAAGCAATTAAATGAAACACCTGAAGACGCGTCACCCTTAAGAGCACGACCAATCTTCTTAAAACAAAAGAAAAAAGAAGGACGAGCCACAGCAGCAAACTCTGGAAGCTTTTTTATACGGTTTTTTATACTGTTTTAATTTAAAAATCAAATGGGCTTGAATTTGCTGTATTTATTCATGTTTTACAAAGGGTTTAACCTGAGCCAGGCCTTACCACCAATGATAATCATATCACAGTCATGCAGGCGTAGGTATGATATTTTTTTATAACATACTGGGTATCGGATCGGTACTCCGGTTACGGCGGATACCCACAGCAACAAGCTATCGGAATC